GATATCGTCGATGTACTTTGTCTGCTTGATGGTCATGGTATCACCGTTGCGTGCAAACTCCATGCCCAGATAAGTCTCAATCTCACCAAGGTCGGTCATGGTAAACTTTTGCTGCAGGAGAGCCTTGGTCTGATCGAGGATGAGGCTGTTACTGGCAAACATCAGGAGGTCATCGACATAGACGGCGATCCAAATGGCATCGCGGCCATTGTTGAGAAAATAAACACATCGGTCCTTGAGGCAGCGAGTAAACTTCATCTCCGTGCACAGCTGGTGGTCGAGCATCTGGTACCAAGCACGTGAAGCTTGCTTGAGACCATAGACAGCGCGGTTGAGCTTGCCATGAGTGTAGCCATTGAAGTACTGCTCGAGACCTTTGGGCACGGTGATGTAAATGTCCTCCTCGAGTGGAGCGTTGAGAAAGGCAGTCTTGACATCTTGGCGTGAACCACGTTGTCAGACAAAATCTGCAACCCCGCTCTTTGCGGCCCGCGTTTTGGCGGCGCCCTCGCTCCCACCGTGTCCGCTCGCTTGCTCGCTAGCTTGCCCCGCGGACATGGCCACTGAGTCCGGCGGCGAGGATTCTTGGACCCAGGTCCGCGGTGCTAAACGCCCGAGTGCCGAGTCACCTCCAAGCAACACCACCACCTCGCCTTCCCAAACTCGTCGTTCTGCAAAACACACAAAACATGGCAGCGCTCGCCACGACCGTAACCATGTTTTCCCTGACCCCATGACCACCCCGCTTCGCCCTCACGCCCGCCACGCTGCCCCTACCGCCCGTGCCTCGTCTCATGTGCCCTCGACGTCCCCCGCTGCCGGTGCGACCGAGTCTTCGGCACGTGCCGTCGTGCCCGCGGCCGAGCCAGTGACCAGGACGTCAAACGGCGGCGGGGAGCAACATCCCATCATCGGAAACACTTCCAATGCTTCTCCCCGCACCCCTCGCACGCCATCCAGCCCTCGCTCCTTTGCTCAAGTTGCTGCGGCAATGCCTGCCGCCGCCACTGCCACATCTTCGGCCCCTATGACCGAGGATTTGTCAGCATCGGTGCCCTCTGAGCCAAATGGCAGCGGGGAGCAGCAACCCTCGCCCGAGTCCGCGAGACAGACACATCATTCGATTCCTAACACACCATCGGATTTTTTGACCATGTCT